AAAATTATAAAATAAAATCATATTTTTAATCTGTCACATCCAATGTGAATTTAAAGTTACCCCTAAAATTCTCATTTTACTCCATTTCTTATTGTAATTATTTTTTATTGGGTGAATAAACAAGTAAATTATTTTGTGGCCGATGGAGTCATACAGCAGTTAAAAATAGCCGAGAAATTAATTTAGCAAGTAATTTATCAAACAGTTTTTGACGCGCAATTCGACATCCTCTGTCCCACTCTATTCGCCGTGGGCAATGAGATACAAAGGTGTTTTGGATTTAACACTCTTTAAGTTTTTGCTTTAGGTTTAGTTATAAAATGTACGTTATGCATATATTATCTGTGATTTTCTTCTGTTGTTCTTGTTCCAATGTCGACAAGTTATATTCTGTTATTGTACCTCACACAATAAAAATAGACGTCGATAACTTTAAAAAGTGTAAGCGGTAAAAAACGATATTTCAGTTACCATCACATTTATCCAACTTAATATACCTACATATCGACCACACTTTAGGCAATAATTATAAGTAGCATATTATTTGTCCATTTCAGACCTCCACATGATTAATACCTACAATTTAAATCCAAAGTAACAATAAATGAGATAAAACGGTTCATGATTCAGTGACGGTGAGTGCACCCACACCCTCTGTTATTCTGTTACAACCATTATGACCCATAGCACACATAGCTTAAGAAAGCTAAATTTTTGTAACAATAACGGGTAGGACAAGCCCAAAGTAGGTTCCCCCACACAAGCGCGTTATTATAGGTCGATAATATCGCATGCGTTACTGCGATATCTGTTTTCAGTACATTGTGTATTAGGATGGTCATGTAGTTGGACGTTTTAGTTAAGTAGGACGTTGCGTTTCTCCCTCCTGCAATATTCCGATATGAGTTCTAGAATGTTTTCTATCAGGACGCAAACGACCGTACACACACCTGCGATAATAACGTTACTCTCTTGTTAGAAATACCGGACGATAAAAACGCAGCTGGGCGCAAGGAATGTAAGGAATCAGGGCGCATTAACGCAATACCGCTTGCGATATTATCGACCTGTAATAACGCGCCTGTGTGGGGGAGCCTTAAAATACAAGATATCCAGAGATTATTCAAAAAACATAAACATAATAGCTATCCAGCGAAATTATCGAAAATTGTACTAGAATATTAGTAAATGTGTACTAAATTTTTTTCTAGCATAAACTATTATGAAACTAAATATATATATTTGATATCAGTTTTAAAAATTCAACCTCACAAAAGTGTTAAGATAAACCAAGGAGATTTGTACTAATGGAAATCAAAAGTATAAATTAAAGCAAAACATGGGTAAATTGTAAGCAAATACATACCACCAAATAATATTAGAAAGCATCAAAAATCCAATCACGTGTTGTAATTTGCACTTGACATTCGCACCGGCGACGGGAGCGCCGCGCCTCGTCTCCCATACGTCACCGCTCCATTTTCCCATCAATTCGGAAATTGCTCATTCACACTCGAACGAGCGACCGCTCAAACGTCACCTCCGTTCCTTGAGAAAATGCACAAGTCAAATCCATCTGTCAAACGGAATTTGAATTCGGAACGCGGACGGCTCGCGGCGTGAACGCAGCGTGACGTCACAGAGAGTCACGCGAACCCCGCGTGACGTCGGACGCCACGCTGTTACCGCTGCCCTTATAAAATCATTAGCGCATTTCACAATAGACAAACCTTTGACACATTAGTTCACGGTGAAATGAACATTCTAGATCTTGGACTTTTATGGGAAGTGAGCAGGCGCTCAGTTCGCGACTACACTTGGCTTTTCACGGTTGACATGTGATATTGTGACGCACGTGGGAATTTGGCAGATTGCGAATATTATATAGACTTCTGTTTTTTTTGACTAAAAATATAAAGTACGTCCTAATAAAATAATTAAAAAATATCAATAGGTAGCAGTAGATCCACATATTTTATAGATGGTTTATCTACACTTTTAAGAGAGTAGTTTAATTTTAACCGATTAAGTACGTGTAAATAAACAATAAATCACTTAAAATTAAATTAAAAAATTTAGTAAACAAGTTATTGACGCATTCATATATCTTTAAACGAGCAATTCCTGTATTATAATCTGAATTATGAATTATACTCGGAAACTGCTCCAACAAATTTCATGAAATTTTGAATGCAGAAGCTTTCAGTGGCGATAAACAACCAACCGTCTCTGCTAAAATATCAAAGAAAAGTCTTTTAGCAATAAAAAAAATATTTTATAACAAACAACAAGAAATCAAAACTAAAATAAGATTATTAACTAATTGAATTGACTGTTAAACTGAGATATTATTATAAATTAAAGAAAACTATGTGTACTCAGAGGTCTATTAAAATAAGAGAATAAATTTTAATAGATCTCTGAGTGAAACAAGACATACCAATAAATTTCAAGGTTTTTCAGTTCACCTCACGCGCCATTATTAGGGATACTTTTGAAAGTAGCTACTTAACGAAAAAAATCCTAAGACTCTGCTGCTAATCGTGCTGGCCAGATAACCAGCCACTGAGGCCCTTTGGGAAACAAAAACACCTACTGTAAAAGTGTAAAACTTCGCCTTTTTACCCTCGGACTCGCATAAATTTGCGGTGCAGCACTTAGAATAATTCGCTTTTATGCTTGTGCAATCTCGTTAAACTCGCGAGATCTCGCCCATTTTTAGACCGAGACAAGTCTCGCTAAAAAAGGCTAAGATCTGGCGAGAACAAGATTGCATTCCCTAGTATAGTTACTTTTAGTTGAAATTCAATTGATTGAGGGAATTTGACGAATCATGGTAACCTGACGTGCAACCGTTTTTATATTGGGATTCTTTTAATCTGTGGCGTAGAAAACAATGATTTTACTCATATGAAAAGCTCTATTTTCTTTCCGATAGGTAATGGGTTTCGTACATTTCAATAATCAGTCCCATACTAAATTATGAAACTGGTTCATTACGTGACGGCACAGACTATATTATATAGGGCTATAGTAAACGTAGTTCCGACTTAAAAAACAACTTGTTCGTAGTTTTGCAAAATTGATATCTAAATGTGAAGAGAGCTCCACTTTAAGTTGGTATATTTCATATGATAAGGGGTACGATGGCGCGTCCGTTTCCTTACTAAAAAATGCTTGGTTGATCAGACATCCATTACAACTTTTACCTTACTACCTATATAAATAGTGGTTTTAACATTCCTAAACCTTAATAGTGCTATTAATAAATAAAGTTAAGCGTCAGAATGAATTTACGCTAAAATTGCAATTTTTGTATTAGTCCAAATTCATATTATACAGAGTAAGCAATACTACTACCTTCTAGAACTAAATATTATTCCCGTAGAACCTCGTACTAAGTTAGCCTTTGCTAAGTCTCTATTTAATAATATGAATTTTGACTAAGTGCGGTATTAGCTTAAATTTACTCCAACGCTAAACCTTTTTTATTAATAACACTGTAAGAGTTCTATTCTACTCCTACTAATAAAATATTGAAAAGTGGGTAATAAACTTTATTATGGGCATAACATCGACCCACAAGTATTATTTAATTTTTATATTATTTTCACGCAACATCACATCTCGTAAACTAACATTATTCAACATGCAACCAACCTCATTCATAACAATTTAAAGTAAAACTCATGTAACGTGTCAAACGCTTTCCAACATGGCGGACAAAACATTCTCAAGTGGGTTCACGATCAATAGTTTTTTTCCTTCGTAATTTCTTTTTTGCGCCACAATCGAAGGCACCAAATTGTTCGACATAAAAGGAAATTAGGGGCGCTGGTTGGAAGCCACTCGAGGCTGAATGAGGACCAGCCTGGCGGAGGCCCGCTCATTGTCCAGGTAAGCTCTTAAATGGGCTGTTAATAGCTAGCGCTGCAGATGATCGATATTATTAATTTTAACGGAAACTATAAAACAAATGGGCAACGTTCAGACGCTGTAGCGCCATCTGTATGAATAAATAATGTTACAAGTTATAATAATAATAAAAAAAATAGACAACCTCATACATTATTCAAATCCAAAGTAGTTAAAGCTGAAACATTGAAGGTGACCTTCAATGCCCAGACTCGAGTCATTAGAGAAAAGTTCGAAATATCGGGAACTCAACAAAAACAAGGTATGTACATGGTAGCAGTTCCGCAAAAGACAATCATTCTAAGTTCATTTCTCTAATATAAAAATCCAACTAAAAAAATATAAATCCAAGTATCGAACCCAGAAATTCGGAAATGGCGACGCCTCGATCAGGTACGCGAGTTACTATGCCAAGGTCATTAATGTTGTTCTAATTTATTGACTTGACTCGACGAGGTACTTGGGACTTATTAGTAGACTGCAGTTTCACGTGGGTTTTCTTGTGTAGAACTACCTATCACTTTACATGATTTGATTTTTTTAGTTTAAAAAAAAAACAGTACAAATCATATAATATTATGATATGATGCTACAGATTTTTTGAGTCTTATTACTTTCAGGTCGATGTTATTTAATTCTTAATTCATCCTTTATTACATTCCACAACATAGGCAAGTTATAAATATAAATACAAAGTACAAAGCGATTGCTACGTAGCAATAAGGTCGCCCTTTGTAATCTCTATCTTTTTTCTAGTTTCTCTGTAATATGTCCTGTCTAAAGTGCAATAAAGAATATTATTATAAAAGAAGCACAGTTAAAATGTACACGAACTGCAGAATGCCAATACCTTTCATGGTAATCCTTAAAGGTTACATTTAACTGACAAATTAGGAATGATAAAAAGTATTACACATACTAACATGAAGTCTTGAGTTCATTAAATGACAAAAAAATCATGTTATATGCATTGTTGGTATGATTCCTTGCAACTTACATGTAAAGTTCTGTTCATCCCGTCATCAGCTGTGGAATAAGATAGTGATGGTATGTTTCTGATGAAACAAAAAAAAAACAAATTGTTTGGTCCGAACTTTTTTAATCACTTGATAAAATATTTCAATGCAAATCTGTTTGTTACAATCAAATATTAATTAAACATGGTAAAAAACGGTATTTTAAAATATAGAAATCATTGCACATAACAATTATGGATTATTATTTATTTTCAAATACATTTTTGGGTGCGACGTAATACATACATATCGTCGTATTCTCAGTACAGAACACCATAAATTATAATGTTTAAAACACCAAGTCATTATAATAACGAAGAATCATTATGTCTGAGTTGCTGAATTATGTCTGAATTTGTGTATACAGAAACAAATACATATTTGGCAAAGGATCGGAGAGGGGTACACTCTATTAACAATACTGCCACTTAAAATCTAATGTTTTGCAACTGTATCTCCGAATGGATCCTCACAGTCATGAAATATTTTAAAAGAACAAATCCAATTCACATTCCCACGTTAATAGAATCAAGAAATAACCATCTCCGTTTTATATTATTGCACCACTTCATCGATGGTCAATATATATATTTAATTGTATTTAAATAATCAAGTTTCGAACGGGCCTAAGCCCAATTGATATTTCTAGATTTTTTGACAATTTGACGTTTCTAGATTTTTTCTTACTAAACGTTGATCGTGTTAATATTTTTACAAAATAGTAGAAGCAAATATTCGGCGTGAAGGTAATGGCCAATATAGAAATATGTTTTGTACTTTCAGCAAATTTTATACAATAGAAATTTGACATAAAAACAGGTAATTGTATCATACAAACATTCAAGAAACTATACTTTCCTAAAAATGAGGATACCGACATCTTTTTTTATTGAATTAATTACATAAATAATGTAAATCTATAAAATTACTTTTTTACAGTAAAAACACAAGTTCAATCAATTGTTTTTCAAACATATTAAATTTTTATATTACAAGTACAGTTTGTTGTCTTCAGTTCACCTAGCGTGAACGGGCAGGGTATTACAAGAAATACAAGCGATTATTTAAGCTTCGTCTGCCTAAGGCACCCAATTAATCTATGTATACCTATTAATTAACAATATAGAATGTAAAATTTTTGTCTGAAATAGTCACCGTAAAAAAAAACACGTTTTGAGATATTATTTTGGAAAAATAAAGGTTATTTTTTCAAGTATCACGTGGAGGAAACCGACCAAGAATGTTTACACAAAATATATATCTTCCAGAACGCAGTTTGATTGTAGAAGTCAGGTTCAACATTGTGTTACCATACATAACCTAATCGAGAGAAGTGAAATATTTGCTTATTATTAACAAATTAGCTAAAATAACTACCATATATATATAGTAGATTTTTGTCTCTTTTCTATCTATGATGTATTTTAAAATCAAATTATATATTTTCAACGCCAAGTACCACCCTGGTTACTTTGATATCTCCTGTTCGGACCGGACTGTGACCCAGACTGTTGACCGCCCTGGTTACTGTTATACCTGCCCCCCTGTTGGTTGTTCTGATATGGGCTGAACCTGTTTTGCTGGCGGTAACCGCCGTGACTTTGACCCTGGTTACTGTTGGACCGGTTGTGACCGTATCCTTGATTACCGCCGCCACCGCCGCCGCCGCCGCCGCCGCCGAATCTGTCCTGGCTACCGTACCCGGAGCGGCTGTAGCTCTGCGTCTGATTGTACCCTTGGTTAGAGTTGTACCCTTGGTTCTCGAAGGGTACGTAGCCGCTACGCTGTGGCCCCCAAGAGTTTGAGCGATCTGGAACAATTATGTTGAATCAGCGACTTAATAAGCTAAAAAATACTAAATATAATAATACAGGATAAAGGTCAGCAGTTACTCTCTAACAGATATCTAATACCCATACATCAGAGAATAATATCTTTAAAGGACCTCGCTCCTGATAAAAACGCATGCATAAAGTTCAATTAAAAACCAATTAAAGCTCGGATAGCATAAGCCTTCAAAAGAGTATAGAGTCAATCGCGATAGTTAATTTCAACTGTTTCACTTAAGAGTGCGTAAACTCAAAATCACTAAATTTCTACTAGTTTGTACAAAAAATGACGCCCAAATAACCTGTAATTAATAATAAGAAAACTACATTATATAGATTAGTGTTACGTCACAACTAAATCGTGAATTTATAAAATTTTCCCTATAAAAAAACCGCAAAGATAACCCTAAAATTTACCATTTACCATTTTTTTAAATTGAGAAATTGATAAATACTTTGCAGTTGTGTAAATACTTTGTTTTTGACAGCCAATTATTTTGTTTTTACACCCACTCTCAAGGTTAAATAGATATTTTCGAGTAAATATTTATTAAAAACAATATACATATCACTATATTATTTGTCACGCACGCACGTATACGTATACGGGTGTGCGTGCACGGACAAACGACGCGGATTGCGGCACTCGTGGTGGTAAGTCTGCGGATCATGGCGCGACTCAGCTCGAGTGTTTAATCGCTGCTTTGTGCCGCTAACGACCATGACAGAGATCTACAGCTGAATGAGACCTAGCTAGCCCTCTGTTAAACGGTACTCCTTCTCACTCTAGCAGAATTTCTAACATCTCCTTCTCGGTATATATATTTTTTTAATAAACAACGCTGTCCATAACAATTAGGATTGCTTTCTCTGAAAATTATACTTTTGAAAATATTTAATTACAGAAGTGAAGTATAACAATGAACTTTTGATTAGTGAAAAAAATCTGATGATTACCAGTGTAGATGAAGTCAAAAATAATATAGCGTAAGTAGCAAGTACCTATGAATTCAATAGTTTTAAGATAAAGCTAAAGTGTGAAACTATGATATCTAGGAACTTCCACACCCGTAAGACATTTTGCTCGGTATTGATATTATAATATTGGTATTAAAAGTAATTTCTTTCTAACTTAATATAATAACTATAATAAATTTATCGTATACTTCTTAGCCTATATACATAATATTACGAGCTAAAAATACTTATAGCTAATAATAAACATAAAATACCTGAACTATACTCCATTCATTATAGCAATAGACAGAAGTTAAATAAGGTTCTTTTTATGGTATACTTTGTGACAAAATATCAATAATCATGTTACTCTTAAGACTAACGGCTAATTTGCTACATATCCACTTAAATACCAGCTGCTATACTTAACCGTAGTCTTTAAGCTATATATTAAACAAATTTATGAGTATATGACTGACTTAAAACATTTAATAATTATTACAATAAAAAGTGTTCATCTTAAAGAACCGGGGAACAGGGTTAGATAGTTTCGGCATGATTCTCATGTCACTATAACTCTACCAAATTTAAAACGTTGCCTAATCCCTTCAAACGTTTCCGCAGTAGAGCTTTTTAATTTTGTCAGATTATGATTTATTCATAATAGTCAAAATATGTAATCTGGGATTGTCATTCATTGTGAATGCTACTGCCTTTCTTGTTGTTATGTAATTTTCGGTGATCGAGTAATTACTGATTTATTGTTGTTTTCTTATAGTTTTGTTTTAGTTGTTATCTTTATGTTGTTAAGTTTTGCTAAATTGCGATTCCGGTGCAGGCCCGAGTGGCCTACATAAATTACACTCTAAGCCCCCATGCCTATCCTCAACCATTGACATTTCAGGAAGTTTTTCCAATGTCTTCATCAATAGTCTAACTAATTACACTTACAATTAAAATTTATTAAAACAACAGAAAGATAGTTTCAGTTTTAGTTCCATTTTGGCGTGGGAGTAAAGGATGAATTTATAAAAGGCTGGCCTCATCTCAACCCTGAGGTATCGTAAAAAATGGAAAATTGCCCAGCTCTTTCAGACTGCCTAATGTTCAAAGTTTTTAACAAAACAAATATTTATTTTTAAAATATCTTGAAAATAAAATGTTCTGAACTGCTGCTTCTATGACCCTCTTTTTTCTAATGTTATAATGAATGGAGTATAGTTCACGTGTTTAGAAGCGTATAAAGACTAAAATTATATGAGTATTGCGCCATATTCCAATAAAATTATATACATACAGGTCAATTTGAGAACCTCTTTTTTTGATGACGTACATACACAGCTAAACTAAGGGCCTCCTTTTTTAAAGTCGGTTAAAAAGAAGGTAATAAAGTTGGTTAAAAAGAAGGTAACAGTTGGTTACAAAGTTTTACTCCTTTTATAATATTTATAAATATGTTAATTATTTACTCCTTTATAAGTAGCTTATATTTTATTAGTTAATATATTCAAAACTACTGAACTGATTTTGATGAAACTTGTAGTATACCCTAAGTTGAAAGCTGAGCATTCTAATCCGACGTCTAGTTTGCGAGATTTCCGTGGACAAAAATATATACTTACGTACATAAATACAATTTTTTAAAAGTCCATTCAACATCTATGAATATTACACCATTCCAACGAAATTGCATACATACGCCTGGAATTGATAACCTCTCTTTTTAAGTCGGTTAAAAATGTTAATTCATAGGCTATCATTCAGTAGATCATTCATCATATATTTGGGAAACATTTTCCCAACCCGATCAAATATCAAATTTCATAAAGACGCCATATTTACGTTATCTCAAGTAAGAAAAAAACAAGAGACTATAATTAGTTAATAATGCATAAAACAATGATGTTATATTCAATTAAATATTTTTAAATTACTCCCTTATTTATGTTTGGTATAATTTATAGTTTTTTGTTTTTCTATACAAATAAATAATTTTAGGAGTGTCTGTTATGGTAAAATAATCACTTTTTAGTAAATGCATATGTATGAGAGCTCGGTGGCGTAGTTGATAAGCGCCGCGGCCTGCGATCGTAGTCGTTAAGCAACTTTCGCAAGGGTCGGTCACGGGATGGGTGACCAAAAAATTATTATCTCGAGCTACTCCGTGCTTCGGAAGGCACGTTAAGCCGTTGGTCCCGGCTGCATTTGCAGTCGTTAATACCCTCCAATCCGCATTGGGCCAGCGTGGAGGGTCATGGCCCATCCTCCTTAACCATCCATAAGGAAGGCCTGAGCCCCTGCAGTGGGGACGTAAAAGGGCTGGTGATATGTATGTACACGATAGATATACCAAATTAACATTTTTTATTTGTCTGTCTGTTCCAGCTAATCTTTGAAGCGGCTGGACCGATTTTGTTGATACTCTTACTGACAGATAGCTTATGTAATAGAGTTACATACTTTTCACGAGGGCGAATCGCGGGCATAGCTGGTTTATTAATTTAAAAGTAACGTGTGTTGTCGAATTATTAATTAATGCATAATTTTATTACCACTTAAATAAAATGTGAAACAAACTTATAAATACGGTCTTAGTTATCTAATGACAAAAATTAGATACTAAATATTATATAATTTTAGTAAAAATCTGTCATATCTCTTCCATTTAATACACGTTCCATAAAAGAACCTGGCATAATCCGCGAGTCGGGAGGAATGCGCGTCGTAAGTAGCTGAGCCGTTTTGTACATCAAAGTTTAAACTTAAAGGGATTCTGGCAGCCGCCCTTTTAAGTGATCGGTAACCACTTCAGACTTTAATACAACGGTCAACAAACCAGTGGCTATGTCGACTACACCTATAAGTACTGATTTAACATATAGAAATATAATAAAATCAAAGCTTTGCATATAAAACTGTACAAATGACTGACTATTATATATCTACATTATATTATTACTCCATAGGGTAAATCACGATTACTTACGTTGAGTTTAAGTATTCTTATTAATTGTTTTTTTTTTTTAATTTTTATACCGATATTTCAATGTATTTAACAATGGATTAAGATTCTACACAGTTTTTAACTGTTGGCGCCCGACGTGGAGCCAATATGACTCCTTCCGATACAATAATAATAAACACGTAGATTTTAATACTAACGTTGTGAATTCAAATAAATATAAAGTTTAATTGCTAGCGAACCTAGTTTGTTAATGACAACGCAACAACGCAGTGTTACCCTTAACTAGCACTAGATTATATCACATACATATCTCTTATTTTCAATACAGAACAATCGAAATGTCTCTCTCAGCACACGTTCATGCGCCATTAATAATTACGCGGCACACTAGAGAATAACGAGCCGTCGCCATTACGTGATATTGTTCGCCTCCAGTTGGCGCCCACCGTGGACTCACATATATGTAGATTTAGGTGCTGTAAGAAAGGTAAGCAAATTTGATGTTGGGACTGTTTAAAAAAAATACAATATATTTTAGTTGCTTGCTTATTTATATCATTTATATGTTTGTGTTTCGCGGACGAAGGATCATCTAAATCTTTTATGGTGAAATCAATTTATGGTTGAGAAAATTATTATTCTGACCTTATTTTGACTATTAAACCTACATTATTTTGTATATTCAGCCAACAAATGAAAGTATTATAAAATTATTATAAGTTAGGTAAAATAAACTAATAATTTAAAATTATTACCTAATAATAATAAATTATAAGCATTTTTGTTTACATAAGTAATTAATTTCACATCAAAAAAAAACATCTTTCATTTACAGAGCTATGTGAATAGTTTGCTTTTCACAATTTTAATCAAAAACGTTTTTTCATACTATGTTTGAATGTAAACATGTCAGCAAAATTACGGAGTCACTGCTGTAAAATACATGAGAGTTATAACGCTTCTGCTTTAGGCACTTTGAAGGCTCCCGCCTTTCATCCATTCATCTTTGAGTATAGCAGATGTAAAAAGTACAAAAATACATGTGGCAAGAGCTAACCC